AATCTCCATTAAAATAGGTCTGGTATCGGCTAATGTCAATTGGGAACCAAGCATCTTTCCAATTACGGGGCAACTCCTCCCATCCCGTTAACTTAAACTTCGAGGTCACAAAGTCAACAATTTTATGGATAGCAGGAAGGTGTTGATCTCCTTTGTCTTCATATGCTGTTCGAAACCAATAATGCTCCCTTGTATTCAATGTGATACCAACAATTAAGTTGTATCCGTCTGTCAGAAAGCTGACCATATGCTTTCGGTAAAATTGATACGTCATAAATCGCTCGTTTCTGATGAGAATCTGATGATACATCTTTGGAAGACAATCCTCCTCAAATGCTTCAAGTTTCGCCTTCAGCTCAATTATACCAATGACATGCAGGATACGACAGTTGACTTCAACTTCTCCCTGAGCTTTCAAGAACTCCGCTTTCGACAGCACGAGATCTGGTCGGTCGACAAGAGAGTCAGTTTCCTTGCTCAAACGCTCGCTAAAATCTGCTGCAACAACACTCGAGTCTTTGAGAAGATTTGTATCTTGTTTCTGTCTCTTGGATGGATTCCTCAGTGTCATGGAGTGAGCCTTAACTGAGGTGGCGCCCAACAGCTCATCCACGTCGGTCTGCAAGCGATTCTCTAAGATTTTTTCTTTTGTACTAAATGGACTGGTAGAGCCTTCATCGAAAAATGTGATTATTTCGAAGAGGAAGGGAGGCTCGTTGGAAGTGGAGGGGGGCTCGTTGGAAGTGAAGGGGGACTCGTCGAAGGGGGACTCGTCGAAGGGGGACTCGTCGAAGGGGGACTTGTTGGAAGGGAGCTCGTCGGGGATCAAGGTTATTCTTGTTACAGAATTCCAGCAGCAAGAAAAATGGCCACCAGTAGAAGCAGCGAGGCTTCTCTTCATTCCTTTTGGCATCACTGAAAATTGCAACCTCTTCTTTTCTTTTTCCATCACTGAAAATTGCGACCTCTTCTTTTCTTTTTCCATCATTGAAAATTGCAACCTCTTCTTTCCTTTTGACAATTGCTTCTTTCCTTTTGACAATTGCTTCTTTCCTTTTGACAATTGCTTCCTTCCTTTGACAATTGCTTCTTTCCTTTTGACAATTGCGTCTTTCCTTTTGACAATTGCTTCTTTCCTTTTGACAATTGCTTCTTTCCTTTTGACAATTGCTTCTTTCCTTTTGACATCACTGAAAATTGCAACGGAGAGTAGCATTGTTACTTACTTCTACCACATTACTGATGTACGCCAGAATTGGCACCATTGGCAGGATAATAGAAAATAAGGTAACGAAGCCAAATTGGAGAATGATTTCCATATAGTCTTCCAGAATTCCATAAATTGCCTCATAATTCGCGCTTTTTGTCAGCCACCAGTCGCTTTCTATCATCAACTCGCTCTCCCTTGACTCCCGCATCTGTCAGGTCATTTTTGGAGAAGTCAATTTTGAAGATCAAATATTCAATTTGCGGTGAAGACAATTTCCTTCGACTGGCGGATTTGAACCTCCAAGGTGATTCGACAAAAATGAAGTATCAAAATTTCACGTCAATCCGAGGACTCGATACCTCGACCTATTGATCCTCAGCCGAAGTGCATTCCCACTGTACCAACCACTCTTTTCTTGATGTAAAGTTAGCTCATGTTCCAATCGCGTCCTGTCTGAGACGGTAGAGTGCTTTCGCAGAGTATTTCGTTCTTGAATAGCGTGTGGGGTGCGTAGTACTGTCGCGGTTGCGCGGCTAGTGGATGCTACCGGCCCGCCAGATTTCCATCAGTCGAAGACCCATCTCCAGGCAAGGAGGCTCTGAGTTCCAGGGAACCGAAGGAGATCAGGATCCTTAAGAGCAGTCAATGTGACATACTTGCTACCTTTAGGATAAATCACGCATCCGTTGTTTTGAAAAACAACGCGGGCTCCATTAGCCGTGAGCTGCGAGATTGAGAGCAGATTTTCAGTTAATTCTTTGCAATAAAGAACATCTGAAAATGAAAAGGAATTATTTCCTTTGGCAGCAGCGACATTTCCGCGAGAAGTCACTGGAAGAGAGCAGCCCGATCCCACGATCAGGGAAGAGTTAGTGCTTCTGGATCACTGAGCAAGGCACTATCATTTACTACAGAATGATTATTTCCCGAGTCGACAACGAAGTTGAATCTAGAAAAATCATTAGTTGAAAGAAAGGCAGAATTTTCATTCAAATAATCGCTGGCAGCAGATGAGAAGCCATCTGGTTACTTGAGGAAGCAGATCGCTGGAAAGCTGGAGTAGTGTGTTGATGTTCACTATCAAAATACAGAATACTTTGGCTGATCTTCCGGAAATGGGTGCCGTGTTGGCTTCTGTCATGTTGAATTGTTCTAACGCCTGCCGAATATAGGATTTCTGGTGTAGAACACACTTTCCCTCTTCACGCGAAGCCCGATGAATTGACGAGGCTGTCCAATAACAGCTTCCGTTTCAGGGAGTGAAGAGCAATACCGAAGAAGAGTGCAGCGTTGGGAACAAGCAAAACTACCTGCGTTATTCAGGCAATAACACCGTTTCAGGGAGTGAAGAACAATACTGAAGAAGTGCTGGGAACAAACCTGAAGGGAAGATCAGGATGTGCTGGAAAGTGCTGATTAAAACGAGGTTACTGAGCTGTTAGACCCTAATTGACTCTTTCTTTGTTTTCTTAACAAATTTGTTCGTCTTAGTGGTATTGCGTTTGAAGAACTCTGGCACTGCAAGCACGAAAACTTTGTTGATGTGACGTAATAGTGTGTGTCGGTTAGCATTTCTGACAATTTGTCGAAGGAGAAGAATTCGATTGCGAATCACGCGTGTAACAAATTCTCATACAAGAAGGGCAAGATCAAGATGAAGAAGGGGTAGAGAGAGGCAAGGCTTCTCGCTTCTATCCTACAAGATGAGAAGACGAGGACGAAGAAGGCTCCAAAGAAGTCAATTCTCGATGCTTTCGACATAGAATACTATCGTCCAGCCTAAAGGCAATAAGAGACATGACCGCAGGAATGGAACAAATGAACGACTTGCTCGCGACGGGAGGACTTTCTAGAAAAGCACTTGAGAGGCGTCGGCCAAACTTCCACGCCGTTGTCCTTGAGAAATTTCTGGTACAGCTTGAACTCCAATTCCTCCAATTTCTTTAGAGCGCCGTCCGGTAGCACGGCTTCGCTTTTGAGATGCTCCCAATAGTAATTCAAAACCGTTCGATAATGCTGCTCCTCACCGAGTTCCTTTATTTTTCCGTTCAGGTACCTGATCCACCTGAAGTAAGATTCTATGGTTTCAGCACCCTTTGATTCGTCATGCACTGAAAACGCTAGACACTTCCACAAAGCCAATTCATCGTCAAGCGGAGTGAAGATATAACCACGTCGCTGGAAATAGAGGCACGCAATGTTGAACGCTTCGCTATTTCTGTTCTCGAAGTTGACAAACTTATACTGTATGGGTATGTCGTCGTTCTTAGAATCCTTTAATACCGCACGAAGGATTGATGATGGAGTCCCATCATCAAGAAGTTGCCTAAGTAAACTACATCTTTTAGTTATCGATCGGCATGACTTGTCGAAATCAATAATTTGGATTTCCCCATTAACGTTGAGAAAATTACATAATCTGATGTCGGTGTGCAGGAATCCCATTTCATGCACTGGGAAGCAAGCGGATCATTAGCTCAAGAAAGACAAATACAAGAGTATATTACCTGATCGAAGTTGTGATAGAAACAATTCCGAACTGCTTTCTTCATTCCATCCATATCAATTTTATGCCATTCAACAATCTCGCCCCATGGCAAAAGGAAACCAGCAATCTTGTTACCCCCAACGGTTTCACCGTTCTCGACTCTCAATTCAACATTAGTGCCCAGTAGTGTGAGGGACCCGGAAGGAGAAATCCGACGCTAAAAAAAAACGATATCGAAGATCGGTACTTAATCTCGTTCGAATCTTACGTTTTGATCGACGCTTTGATCGACGTTTTGACCCGACGTTTTGATCGACGTTTTGCTGTGATTCAGCAGTAAAATTCAACTTCACTGTTTGGGCCCTTTGAAGCATCACAAACTGCCTTCCAGAAAGCTTGTCCTTTATGCCCTTCTTTATCCAGATAACAAACCCTTCCAGCAACTCCTATGATACTGAAAGAATCTCCATTAAAATAGGTCTGGTATCGGCTAATGTCAATTGGGAACCAAGCATCTTTCCAATTACGGGGCAACTCCTCCCATCCCGTTAACTTAAACTTCGAGGTCACAAAGTCAACAATTTTATGGATAGCAGGAAGGTGTTGATCTCCTTTGTCTTCATATGCTGTTCGAAACCAATAATGCTTCCTTGTATTCAATGTGATACCAACAATTAAGTTGTATCCGTCTGTCAGAAAGCTGACCATATGCTTTCGGTAAAATTGATACGTCATAAATCGCTCGTTTCTGATGAGAATCTGATGATACATCTTTGGAAGACAATCCTCCTCAAATGCTTCAAGTTTCGCCTTCAGCTCAATTATACCAATGACATGCAGGATACGACAGTTGACTTCAACTTCTCCCTGAGCTTTCAAGAACTCCGCTTTCGACAGCACGAGATCTGGTCGGCCGACAAGAGAGTCAGTTTCCTTGCTCAAACGCTCGCTAAAATCTGCTGCAACAACACTCGAGTCTTTGAGAAGATTTGTATCTTGTTTCTGTCTCTTGGATGGATTCCTCAGTGTCATGGAGTGAGCCTTAACTGAGGTGGCGCCCAACAGCTCATTCACGTCGGTCTGCAAGCGATTCTCTAAGATTTTTTCTTTTTGTACTAAATGGACTGGTAGAGCCTTCATCGAAAAATGTGATTATTTCGAAGAGGAAGGGAGGCTCGTTGGAAGTGGAGGGGGGCTCGTTGGAAGTGAAGGGGGACTCGTCGAAGGGGGACTCGTCGAAGGGGGACTCGTCGAAGGGGGACTTGTTGGAAGGGAGCTCGTCGGGGATCAAGGTTGCTCTTGTTACAGAATTCCAGCAGCAAGAAAAAATGGCCACCAGTAGAAGCAGCGAGGCTTCTCTTCATTCCTTTTGGCATCACTGAAAATTGCAACCTCTTCTTTTCTTTTTCCATCACTGAAAATTGCGACCTCTTCTTTTCTTTTTCCATCATTGAAAATTGCAACCTCTTCTTTCCTTTTGACAATTGCTTCTTTCCTTTTGACAATTGCTTCTTTCCTTTTGACAATTGCTTCTTTCCTTTTGACAATTGCTTCTTTCCTTTTGACAATTGCTTCTTTCCTTTTGACAATTGCTTCTTTCCTTTTGACAATTGCTTCTTTCCTTTTGACAATTGCTTCTTTCCTTTTGACAATTGCTTCTTTCCTTTTGACAATTGCTTCTTTCCTTTTGACATCACTGAAAAATTGCAACGGAGAGTAGATAATTGAGTGAAGTTTCAGTACAGGTATGGGACAGACAAACGTAAAAGGATAACCTGGATAACCTGGTTTAAGCAACCAGATTATTTTACTGGTTCATGTTTGCACTACACAAAAATCACTAACAAAAACCACTATCAAATATTGTTCTGAGATTGTTCGCCTGTACCATAAGGGGTTATGAGCCCTCCCAGTTCTCTTTTAAACCCTCGTTGCAGAACTTGAAATTGTGTTTTTTTTCTTTCTGGTGTGACCGATGGGATTAACTATGTCCAACCTCCTTGGATTCTGCAGCACTAATTGCAACAAAAAAAATGAAAGAGATACTAAAAATCCCCACATGGATTTTTAGCCCACAACACCACCATCTTTCGCGCTTTTTGTCAGCCACCAGTCGCTTTCTATCATCAACTCGCTCTTCCTTGACTCCCGCATCTGTCAGGTCATTTTTGGAGAAGTCAATTTTGAAGATCAAATATTCAATTTGCGGTGAAGACAATTTCCTTCGACTGGCGGATTGAACCTCCAAGGTGATTCGACAAAAATGAAGTATCAAAATTTCACGTCAATCCGAGGACTCGATACCTCGACCTATTGATCCTGAGCCAAAGTGCATTCCCACTGTACCAACCACTCTTTTCTTAATAATGAGGAATACAGACCCTTGTGCCCTCACTTCCCCGGAGAACCCCGGCTGCTACCGGACCCTTCTTCGTCCTCGTCTTCTTCGTCCTCGTCTTCTTCGTCCTCGTCTTCTTCGTCCTCGTCTTCTTCGTCCTCGTCTTCTTCGTCCTCGTCTTCTTCGTCCTCGTCTTCTTCGTCCTCGTCTTCTTCGTCCCTCGTCTTCTTCGTCCTCGTCTTCTCATCTTGTAGGATAGAAGTGAGAAGCCTTGCCTCTCTCTACCCCTTCTTCATCTTGATCTTGCCCTTCTTATATGAGAATTTGTTACACGCGTGATTCGCAATCGAATTCTTCTCCTTTGACAAATTGTCAGAAATGCTAACCGACACACACTCACATCAACAAAGTTTTCGTGCTTGCAGTGCCAGAGTTCTTCAAACGCAATACCACTAAGGCGAACAAATTTGTTAAGAAAACAAAGAAAGAGTCAATTAGGGTCTAACAGCTCAGTAACCTCGTTTTAATCAGCACTTTCCAGCACATCCTGATCTTCCCTTCAGGTTTGTTCCCAACACTGCACTTCTTCAGTTCTTCACTCCCTGAAACGGTGTTATTGCCTGAATAACGCAGGTAGTTTTGCTTGTTCCCAACGCTGCACTCTTCTTTGGTATTGCTCTTCACTCCCTGAAACGGAAGCTGTTATTGGACCGCCTCGTCATTCATCGGGCTTCGCGTGAAGAGGGAAAGTGTGTTCTACACCAGAAATCCTATATTCGGAAGGCATTAGAACAATTCAACATGACAGAAGCCAACACGGCACCCATTTCCGGAAGATCAGCCAAAGTATTCTGTATTTTGATAGTGAACATCAACACACTACTCCAGCTTTCCAGCGATCTGCTTCCTCAAGTAACCAGATGGCTTCTCATCTGCTGCCAGCGATTATTTGAATGAAAATTCTGCCTTTTCTTTCAACTAATGATTTTTCTAGATTCAACTTCGTTGTCGACTCGGGAAATAATCATTCTGTAGTAAATGATAGTGCCTTGCTCAGTGATCCAGAAGCACTAACTCTTCCCTGATCGTGGGATCGGGCTGCTCTCTTCCAGTAACTTCTCGCGGAAATGTCGCTGCTGCCAAAGGAAATAATTCCTTTTCATTTTCAGATGTTCTTTATTGCAAAGAATTAACTGAAAATCTGCTCTCAATCTCGCAGCTCACGGCTAATGGAGCCCGCGTTGTTTTTCAAAACAACGAATGCGTGATTTATAGCAAGTATGTCACATTGACTGCTCTAAGGATCCTCAGGGCTTATATCGTTCGATAGCCCTGAGCTGCCGTGCACCATCGCACACCACATACTTCATAAAGTGTCTGCCACAACAGTCCACCATCGCCTTGGCCACATGAACAACAACGATCTCAAAGTTCTTCAGCTGCCCACTTTGACAAGTCCTTGCTCTACCTGCATTTTGTCAAAGATGAAAGCTCTTCCCTTTATGACGTTCAAGCGGAATAGTGTTATGGTAGAGCCGGGCGATCCAGAGTGAGATGCGGTTCACAGCAGAGGCTGCACTAACCATCAGGCTGCAAAACCCTGGTAACAGAGAAGAAAGGGAGGGAAGAGTGGAGAACACACACAGAAAGGCAGTGTTTACACCCGCAGCGGGGTATGCGTTGAGTAAACCCTCAACAGAACTAGGCGGGTTTTTGCCCCCTGCTGGCCATTGGGTTGACAAAGATGATGAAAATGATGTATGGTATGAAAAATAGATGAATATGATATTAATGATGATAGATGATGATAAAATGCAAGTGAATAGGGTGGAAGTATGGAGAGTAAAGATGGAGGTTAGGGTGGATGATAAAGGGAAGAAGGCAGTGAAAGAAGGAAGAGAAATGAGGGAAAGTGGAAGGGTGGAAATTCCAGTAAATCCAGATGAAGATACCAGTCAATCCAGAGAGATTTAGAAGAAGGGTAGCAAATGGATATAGATATAATTTGATGAATAGCATAATGGAGGAGCGGAGAAGTGGAAATGCAATGATAATGAATAGAAGAAGGATGAGATAGTTGGATAAGAAAGTTGGGTGATGATGGATGAATATATGGGTGGAAATGTGTATGTAGGGCTTATGGTTGAACGAAGTCTATTGGGTTCCATTTGGAAATCACTGGCAAGGATACCAGGAAGAGCAAGAAAGTGCAGATCCGGAGGGGGTTCATGTTGGAAATGGTTGGTTGTGGGGGAAAGTGGAACAAAATTTAAAAAGAAGACAAAAAGCTTCTCAAAACAGAAGAATGGGGAGGAATGGATCTAAACTGACTAGGGGAAAGTGGAAAAGCGAAAACGTGCATTTTGGGAGTATTTCATGCTCATGTGATCTTTTCTGGTAAATTGTGCGTGAATGGCGTGAATGTGGAAAATGCAGACTTGGTCACTTTTGCGGGCCTGGCCTCCGAAAGCTTTGAAAGAAATGTTGTGCCGTTTCGCCCATCTCAGGCACTTTGATCCGGGAATTGTTTGCTGGGCTTGCTCTGTCCAGTTCTTCTTCTCGCCTTAACATGCGACACATCCTCTCGAGTCGCTCCACAGTGATCCTTCCTCTTGATGCTGACCGGGATGCTCTTCTCCGAGCTCCGGCTCTACCAGCGAACGAGGACTCTGCTCTTGAGCGCCTAGTGTTGTCGTCCAATGGTTGCTTTGATGATTCCGAAGCTGTCATGCTGTGCAGTCTGTTCCCTTTCACTTCTTATCTCTTGTTTCACGTTATTGGAGTTTATTCCAATCCAAAACGCCAAGGTCCAAAGTTATTAAAGGACTTTCTGGAGTTAGAGTTTTCGTCGAGTGGTTCACCGCACGCACATGGACAGTTACCGAAATACAAGGTTCGATATATCCCAGCTAGATCTACAAACTAGGGTACTATCTGATCTCCTTCGGTTCCCTGGAACTCGGAGCCTGGAGAGGGGTCTTCGACTGATGGAAATCTGGCGGGCCGGTAGCATCCACTAGCCGCGCAACCGCGACAGTACTACGCACCCCACACGCTATTCAAGAACGAAATACTCTGCGAAAGCACTCTACCGTCTCAGACAGGACGCGATTGGAACATGAGCTAACTTGACATCAAGAAAAGAATGGTTGGTACAGTGGGAATGCACTTCGGCTCAGGATCAATAGGTCGAGGTATCGAGTCCTCGGATTGACGTGAAATTTTGATACTTCATTTTTGTCGAATCACCTTGGAGGTTCAAATCCGCCAGTCGAAGGAAATTGTCTTCACCGCAAATTGAATATTTGATCTTCAAAATTGACTTCTCCAAAAATGACCTGACAGATGCGGGAGTCAAGGAAGAGCGAGTTGATGATAGAAAGCGACTGGTGGCTGACAAAAAGCGCGAAAGATGGTGGTGTTGTGGGCTAAAAATCCATGTGGGGATTTTTAGTATCTCTTTCATTTTTTTGTTAGTGCTGCAGAATCCAATCCCATCGGTCACACCAGAAAGAAAAAAAACACAATTTCAAGTTCTGCAAGGAGGGCTCATAACCTCTTATGGTACAGCGAACAATCTCAGAACAATATTTGATAGTGGTTTTTGTTAGTGATTTTTTGTAGTGCAAACATGAACCAGTAAAATAATTAAACCAGGTTATCCAGGTTATCCTTTTACGTTTTTTCTGTCCCATACCTGTACTGAAACTTCACTCAATTATCTACTCTCCGTTGCAATTTTCAGTGATGTCAAAAGGAAAGAAGCAATTGTCAAAAGGAAAGAAGCAATTGTCAAAAGGAAAGAAGCAATTGTCAAAAGGAAAGAAGCAATTGTCAAAAGGAAAGAAGCAATTGTCAAAAGGAAAGAAGAGGTTGCAATTTTCAATGATGGAAAAAGAAAAGAAGAGGTTGCAATTTTCAATGATGGAAAAGAAAAGAAGAGGTTGCAATTTTCAGTGATGCCAAAAGGAATGAAGAGAAGCCTCGCTGCTTCTACTGGGTGGCCATTTTTCTTGCTGCTGGAATTCTGTAACAAGAATAACCTTGATCCCCGACGAGCTCCCTTCCAACAAGTCCCCCTTCGACGAGTCCCCCTTTGACGAGTCCCCCTTCGACGAGTCCCCCTTCGACGAGTCCCCCTTCGACGAGTCCCCCTTCGACGAGTCCCCCTTCACTTCCAACAAGCCCCCCTCCACTTCCAACGAGCCTCCCTTCCTCTTCGAAATAATCACATTTTTCGATGAAGGCTCTACCAGTCCATTTAGTACAAAAGAAAAAATCTTAGAGAATCGCTTGCAGACCGACGTGGATGAGCTGTTGGGCGCCACCTCAGTTAAGGCTCACTCCATGACACTGAGGAATCCATCCAAGAGACAGAAACAAGATACAAATCTTCTCAAAGACTCGAGTGTTGTTGCAGCAGATTTTAGCGAGCGTTTGAGCAAGGAAACTGACTCTCTTGTCGGCCCGACCAGATCTCGTGCTGTCGAAAGCGGAGTTCTTGAAAGCTCAGGGAGAAGTTGAAGTCAACTGTCGTATCCTGCATGTCATTGGTATAATTGAGCTGAAGGCGAAACTTGAAGCATTTGAGGAGGATTGTCTTCCAAAGATGTATCATCAGATTCTCTTCAGAAACGAGCGATTTATGACGTATCAATTTTACCGAAAGCATATGGTCAGCTTTCTGACAGACGGATACAACTTAATTGTTGGTATCACATTGAATACAAGGAAGCATTATTGGTTTCAAACAGCATATGAAGACAAAGGAGATCAACACCTTCCTGCTATCCATAAAATTGTTGACTTTGTGACCTCGAAGTTTAAGTTAACGGGATGGGAGGAGTTGCCCCGTAATTGGAAAGATGCTTGGTTCCCAATTGACATTAGCCGATACCAGGCCTATTTTAATGGAGATTCTTTCAGTATCATACGAGTTGCTGGAAGGGTTTGTTATCTGGATAAAGAAGGGCATAAAGGACAAGCTTTCTGGAAGGCAGTTTGTGATGCTTCAAAGGGCCCAAACAGTGAAGTTGAATTTTACTGTGCTGCTGAATCACAGCAAAACGTCGATCAAAACGTCGATCAAAACGTCGGTCAAAGCGTCGATCAAAACGTCGATCAAAACGTAAGATTCGAACGAGATTACGTACCGATCTTCGATATCGTTGTCTTTTTTTAGCGTCGGATTTCTCCTTCCGGGTCCCTCACACTACTGGGCACTAATGTTGAATTGAGAGTCGAGAACGGTGAAACCGTTGGGGGGTAAAAAGATTGCTGGTTTCCTTTTGCCATGGGGCGAGATTGTTGAATGGCATAAAATTGATATGGATGGAATGAAGAAAGCAGTTCGGAATTGTTTCTATCAACTTCGATCAGGTAATATACTCTTGTATTTGTCTTTCTTGAGCTAATGATCCGCTTGCTTCCCAGTGCATGAAATGGGATTCCTGCACACCGACATCAGATTATGTAATTTTCTCAACGTTGATGGGAAAATCCAAATCACTGATTTCGATAATTCATGCCGATCGTATGTTAAAAGCTGTAGTTCGCTTAAACCAGATCTTGGTCGTTACCACCCATCATCAATCCTTCGTGCGGTAATAGAGGATTCTGAGAACGAGGACTTACTCATACAGCATGAGTTTCTCAACTTCGAGAACAGAAATAGCGAAGCGTTCAACATTGCGTGCCGCTAT